TAGAAGTGTTGTTGATTTATATCTGTAGTTTTTCCTTATCTGTATTATCGTTGAACTTATTATGGAAAAACCCGATTATCAAATTGCAGGTTGCTTGAATTTCCAGAAAAATTGAAATGGTAGTTAAGAAGTCGTCTACTTCAACTGACCTGTGGTCCAACTTACCGTACTTGCAAGAAAAAATGCTAGGACTAGGGGTATATGAGTGGGCCTTCATCAGCTACTTTTTGTCCACAAAAGATAAGGTATTAGGTAAATAGGATAGTAGTTATTTGTGTGTGTTAAAATATAGAAATCAAAGTTGAAAGCAAAATGTGGAGAAGATCCGCATGTAGACTTAGCCTCTCTAGCAATTGACATCTTCGCAATGATCTTTCACCCCAGCAGATCTATGACAGACTCATTCGTTGGGATAATGCTGATGATTTTAGCTGCCCCTATACCTCTTCTACCGTTTATTTCCTCCATTGTGCATCCCTTTACCAGATGACCAGAGCATCGTTCGGCTGGACCGCGACTGGAACACGTACCGGAATGATCAACAGCCCATTGAACCTCTGGTACGCACCCTTTTCTTCCCATTATCGCATGCCCTCTAACAATTGTCCTGTTTTTTTATTGAATATCCTTCTCTAGTATTTCACATAGGTTCTCCTGCGTACTTCACATACTTATCTTTATTTGAAAACACGCGCACTGCTCGTATGACATTAGCTAAGAAATGACGGTGAATAACGGCTTAACTCGTCTACCTGCTAATGGGGTCTACCTTTCGCAGTCTGTAGAATGTACGGTTTGCATATTGCCGAATACAATTGTATCCTTGTTTCCCATAAACCATCACTCCACCATCTCCTTTGTGCCACAATTTTAGATAAGCGAAGTTCCGGAAATTTACATAAATGCCAACTACCTACATGAAGGCCTGCGGTTACGATGCTATGGGACGGGCGAAGGTTGCGTCAAAGACCAGCTTACCGGAGTACATCGCCACTCAGGCTCCCCTTACACACACGGAAGCCGACTTCCACTACATGGTGCATCAACAACGTTCCCCAGTGGTCCTCATGCTCTGCAAGTATGTTTGATCTTCCTCCATTATCAAATGATAACCGCCCTTACGTATTTTGACAAATTGAGTACTCGCGAGTGCTTCGGTCTATCATTGTGTCCCCAAGCGTTCACCACTTTTGAATTTCAGTTTCAATGTTGGCGTCAGTCTTTGGCTTAGATATCAATGTGAGAACCAGAGCAAACTTGTATTTACTTATATAGCTTCATACGTCGAGATTTAAAAAGAAAAA